TGCCGTGAGGGGAGCTGGTGCTGGCTCTCTGCTCCGCAGGTGCCCAGCAGAAGCTATGTTTTAATATCGGTGCGGTTTTTTTTGTGACTTGATTATTGTTAAGTACATCACCAGGTCATTAGTAGTAATTAACGATACTCTTTTGAATTCTGAGCTGTGATATTTTAAAAGGTGGAAGCGTACACTAGCAAGAGCGTTGTTCTTCACTTGCTGTGTCTCTGTCTGCGTTCTCTAGGCATCAGCTGCTGGCGTTCACCGGAGGCAGGATACGTGGGCTCTGACTGACGCAGTAGGGTTATCGCTCTGTATGTACGAACATACATAAAACTACTTTACTTCCTATTCCTTAATCTGTCCTGGAGGATAAAGTGACAAAAATCACTGGTGTGATAACCTGTTGTAACCTGTATGTGGACAGACAGCTACAGCATGTTTTGGCAACATTACAGCGAGTTTATTAATTTCACAGACTAGCTTACTCAAAACTTTTGTTATCAGAATTAGGTAAAGTTAGCGTGGTAAGAGAGCTAACGTTTTGAAACGAATAGTTGGCTTGTAGACGCATGTAAGCAAATAGTAAAATCCTGATAGGAGTTTTGGGAGGAGTCTCTGATTTCTAATAATGATTTTGTCTTACACTTTCCAGCTGTAAAGATTCTCCAGTTTTCTTGTGGTTTTGTGCTTGATGACTATATCTTCTTGTTCCTCCAGAATTATAAAGAATATGCTTTCCTTTTTCTTCTTCATACAGAACCTGGAGGGTTTTTAGTTCTTGGAGCTCTAAGTTGACCACTGGAGTGGTTTTTAAATTTATATGACTTCTGGACTGGAGAATATTCCCTCCAGGAGACACACCGACTGTGCGACTGCTTACAGTCCAAGTATAAAATCAGGAATGAAGGGCTGTTTGAGGGAATTCAGAGAGACCGCGGATTTGATCGGTTGGTGGTCACTGAATCCAGAATAACATCAGCATCTTGACTTTCAGAGTTGTTATACGCATCAAAACAACTCGTATACTGTCAGGAAATTAGCGTGCAACGTAAATAGCTTGCCATGTATCAACGGTGATTCTGATGATTCAGCCAAGAAATGCTTTAAGAGGATGGAAACTTTGCCCAAGAGCGTAAGCAAAAAGAATTGATTGGTCTCTGAGGACACTTTTACTTTTTTAATTAAAATCAGTCAAGAAACAATAGCGAGCTCTCTTAAGAGGCTTACTTGAGCTCTTAGGCTTTTTTGGAGAGCATACCATATAATTCCTTGCTTCTATAGTAGACTATAGCAGCTTGTGATAAAATACTTAATTTAATAGAAAATATTTTTAGACAGTAATGTGTTTCTGTACATGATAGAATAACTTGAACTTCTCTTATTTGTATTAAGGTGAAAAAACAATAGGAAAAGACCTGCAGATGGCTTTGAGAGACTTTGCAAGTGAGTTGGGAGAAGTTTTTTGTGTGGATTACTCCTGAGAAATACATAACTATTTATACCATGGAACTGGACAAGAACAGCAGTGTTAAAAGCAAAAGCGGGCTCTTCGTTCAGTCCTCCCACCTTTTATCTTACTCTGAGAAAGTTGAGCACAGTATCAGAGACCTTGCAGCAGAAATTAACCGTTCTGTTTTTGGCCAGGCATGTTCCATAAATGTCTCAGAGTTAAAGTTGTCAGAGGAAGGCTTACCTTATTTAAGTTCGTCTTTAGATGCAGATATTGAAATGTACAATAAAGAGAGAAGGACAATTTGCTGTGCCTGTGGAGATAAAAGCGAGGGAGAAGCTAGTATGTTGGGAATGGCATGCAACGATATGCATTTTCTTTGCAGGGTTAGTGATGAGTACAGACAAAGTGATTTAGGGGAGGATTCACAGCTGGAGTATCTCAGTGCTGATGAGCAAGATTATTATGATAGGAATAGCTCAAGTGGGATCTGTAAGCAAACAAAAACTGTAGGAATCCAAACTTTAAAGTTGATAGATCGAGCTCGTGAAGTTCCAGGGGGTGGAGTCACAAAGGAGCAAGATCTTGCTAATGTGTTAGAAGGTTGTTCTCCTATCTGTAAATACTGCATAGGTGATCAGATCTGCATAGAAGCAGCTGTGCCAGAACTTCCCCAAGCACTTCGGGACTGTCTCTCTCTGCCAGCGTACAAAGACACGAGTTGTGATCATGAAGAAGAGCAGACAGAGTATCATAGTGTTCTTTACGAAGGTACACTTGAAAGTCATGCTTGTGGGAGTAAAGAAAGGGTTTCTCCAAATCCGTTCATACATGGCACTTTAGAAAATGAAAAGGTGGAAGACGTTCCTTTGATTGATGGCACACAGTCAACCAAAATGGCTGTAAATGAGAAACCGGTCGAAAGGAATGATAGACGTATTCACAGCGTCTCCGTGAAGCAAGACAATCCTTCCCTTTCACCACAGGAAAGGTCCCCTGCAATAGCCACGCCATTTTGCCAAAGTGCAGGCGAGACTAATTCTTACAGGTGTGATGAAGCCTTTGTGTGTGTACTTGGTACCAGCTGTGTTGACTGTGCTCAGAAGGATGTTGAAACCAAGTGTCCTGTCCCCCAAACTGATGCTAGAGAGAATCCCTTGTTTGGGCTGGAAGTTGTAGGTAAACCTGGAAACACCAGCTCTCCGAACCTGGAACTGGAGTGTCATGCAAACTTGAGTAATGTTACCAGTGACTCTAAAGTTACCGTTCACCAGACCGTTGATGCAAGTTCTGATTTTAGAGCTTGCTTTACAACAAGTAGAGCTACCAGTGCCCAGGCTTGTCTAGTATCCAGGGCTATTAATACAGAGATAACAATGATGAACAAATCCAGACCTGTGGAATGGCGCCGTGAAATCTGTGCCGATGTTGCTTGCAATACTGACTGGTCATGTGTATCTGGTAGTACAGAGGAAACTTGGTCACAGTTTACTGACCTATTGGAAAAACGTTTAGATGGCGGTACTGCAACAGCTGAAAGGAGTTCACAAATTCAGGTGACTTTAATAATTTTGATGCATAAAGCTTTCCCTCCCTCCCTAAGTTGCTTAGAATTCGTCTGTACAAACGTTGATGTGTAACTTTTTAAAATGATTTTGTTTAGGATCCGTGGGAATTAAAAAATAAGCTGTGTAGCAGTGATTTAAAGATAAGCACTGACAGGTGGGTGACAAATTGTTCTTGTTTTAGAACTATAGATAATAAGATCTTATGTTCTTCAGAATTGAAAAGCTGTTGCGACTTAGCAAAACTGATAACGATGGAAGATGGCTGGGGAGCAGCTCACACGCTGGTGGGTAAGGCTGCCTTTTGCAAGACCTGGACAAACCAGAAGAATGAGCTGGTAGAGACCTCACGAAGTTCAACAAAGACAAATGCAGTCTTGCAGCGGGAGTGGAATGACTCCCTGCCGCAGACAGTACTGGCTTTGGGGGGGGGGGGGGGCGCGGGCCCCGGACGAGCAA